GGGGCTGGGCCCCCCCAGCACCCAAGCCCCTGGTGAGGGGGCATGGGGGCTGGGTTGGCTTACCTTCCAGGATGACAGTGATGGGGTTGGGCCGGAAACCTTCTCCTCCAGGGCACAAGGTCTTGTACTCGGCTGTGGAAAAAGTCAGTCAGGGGGATCCTGAGCTGAGCGGGCTCCCATGAAACAGGAGGGTTAGGGAGAACCAGGAGAAACCCAGGATAAATAGGCCATGAGGATGGTGACAGTGGTCCAGATGGAGCAGCCTGACTCCCATCGCATGCCAAACCAACTTAGCCGCCCTGTCTCTGCCTGCCCACCCTTGAACAGGGTTATTCCATGTCCACTGCCCTCCCCCAGCCCACTGGATCCCAACCTGGATCCCCCAGGCACAACCAGCCTGGTCTCCCCCACCCCACTTCACCTCCCCCCTGCCCTGGTCCACCTGTCTAGCCCTGCACTGACACAACAGGGTTGCCTTCTCCCTCAGCTTCCCTTGCTCCATCGTCATGATAGCATATCCTGGACCCAGGACTCCCCACCTGAGTTGAGAAGCCACAGGGAAGAGGCCCCATCTCTCTTCTCTGCTCTACGCTGCCCATCTGGCCCATGGTCAAGTTCACCCCAGACATTTTCCCAACTCACTTGTGTTGGCTGGAGGACAAAGCTCGCAGGGGTTGCCCCATGCACGACCCAGCGAGCAGCAGCAGGATGCCCGAGTGACCCCAACTCCAATTTCTGCACTGCAGGAGATCCCCCCATCTCCTCGATCCTGGGTGTCCAGGAAGCAGTTCCCAACACGGGTATCTGCACAAAGACAGTAGCAGGTGAGCAAAGCCTCTCCAGTAAAGACTTGTGTGCACAGGAGGAATAAATGGCACTATTGCCTCAAGAAGCAGGGAGAGGGATAAAGCGCCAGTCCTGTCCCAGACGTCCACACTGTCAGCTACCTATGTTGTAGTAAACCACATCCAGAATGTCCTTGCAGGTCATGACTTTGGGAAGCCTTGAAGAACAAAGTGTGTCCAGCTTGTCCAGTAAAAGCCACACACTATATCATACAGAGGCCGTAGCATGGTGGCCTGTCTTCAGTACAGCTAGGGAGCATGACCCAAATAGTGCTATCAGTAACCCAGGGCCTTTCAAGAAACAAACACTTAAGAATAGCTCCAGAGCTGCCCAGGAATAACATTGCTTCAACCAGGAGAGCACCCACACTGGTGACACAAGGTGGGTGACGCTTAACAGGAGGTAGGTACTCTTCTGCGGCTGCACGGTTAAGCCCGTCATGGACAGCCAGGTATTTGACAGGGCAGATAGTGGTCAGCCACCCCAGTGTCTGGTAGTGGCCAGTTCCAGCTATATGGGACCAGCAAGAAGGACCACCACAGTCCTGGATGGAAGGTGTGCCCTCCGCACAGGGCCCCACTCACCCACACAGCCCACACCAGTGGGATTCAGCTCAAAGTCCTGTGGACAGTTGCACAAGTAGCTGCCAGGGGTGTTAACACACAGGCCGTTGATACAGTTCACAGGGTCTGCACATTCATTGATGTCTGAAAAGATGTAAAAATTAAGACTGAAAAGAAAGATGATGACTGCTACAGAAACCACAGCCCCAGCCCTAAGCTCTGCACTGTGCGTTCAGGGTGTATCCCCACAACCATGGTGCTTCTAAGGCTCTTCATGTGAGGCAACATGCCTTCTAGACACAGCCCTTGCCTTGTGCTACCTCACACCACCCTGCCCAGAGTCAGAAGAAAGGAACAGAGCCACACCGAGCTTTCCCTCCTACCCACTGAAGGCCCACCTTCCAGCAGCATTGAGGCTTTGCCAAGAGCAAAGACACATCACCACATCACCCAGGGATGCTTAGTTGGCTTTAGGCTGCTACTGCCACTCCCTGTCATGGTTGGGGCAAGCTCATACCAGGAGATCACAGAGCAGTAATCCTCATCCAACAGCCCCATGAAAGTCCTATACCTGTGCAGTTGCCTCCACTCCTGTCCAGTTCATAGCCATCATCACAGGCGCAGCGGAACATCCCAGGCAGGTTCTGGCAGGTCCCAAAGACACAGATATTCTGGAAGGTGCATTCATCAATGTCTGCAAAACAGGGAGAGCTGGATACTCAGGATCTGGCAGAGTGAGGGCCAGGACAGGCCTCTCCTGCCCCCATCTGAAAGCAGAGCCACAGCTCAGCTGTGGGTAACCCATCTCAGGATGGTTCTAATGCCATGGGATACCATCTCCTGGGTGAGCAGGACCAGGCATGCTGTGTGTATGCCCTCTCCCCTCACCCCTGTTTTGCTGATTGTCCACATCTTGCATGGATCCTTGGCTTAGCCCAGCCTCTCTGAAGGCTGGGGACCAACTCCTGTAAGTGCAAGAGCTGGCACCTCAGGATCTTTGCACCACCAGGTGATGGTGGGTCTTGCTTAGTAATAGATCAGGCGGTGACAGTGCAGTGGAGAGACCAAGGCCAGAAAGGAGGTGGACACCGGATCTCCTGGAGCAGCAGTCAAAATTCTGGGCACTTACCCTGGCAGGCCTTGCTGTCCTCTGTGGGATTGAAGCCCATCTCACACTCACAGCGGTAACCCCCAGGTGCATTAAGACACTGTCCATTCTCACACAGGTTCACATTGTCCGCACACTCGTCCACATCTAGAGAGAGTCAAGCATGAGACTGACATGGTGTCCACCCGAAGATGGGACCTTCCCTCATCTTGCTCAGAAAATTCCCACAAGCTTGTTCCCACCCCTCTTCTGGGAGGCTGCGAGGAGAGGGCTGCAATACTTCTCATTGCCTTGATCCTCCCCAAACACCTGCTGAGAAGAAGGTGGATCTCTGCTGAAGGTATTTGAGCATGCTGTGGTGCAGGGCAGGTGGCAGTAGCTTTTGGGGGACATGTGGCTCGAGGAACCCCAGACACAGGCAGCCAGGTGTTAAGCCAGGCTGGTGGTTAGAGGTGGTGACTCCGTGTCCCAGCAGGATGCCCAAACCACGTTCCTGCTGCCAATTGAGTCTATGGGCCTCACCTGAGCAGGAGAATCCATCCCCGTTGAAGCCTTCTCGGCAGGCACAGCGGTAGGAGCCTGGTGTGTTGACGCAGTTGGCATTCAGGTTGCACTTGTGCTCTTCAGTTGCACACTCGTCCAGATCTGGGCAGGGAGAACACCCTTGTCAGTGTTTTGCCTCTGGCCTTTCCTCTAAGCCTGACCAGCTTGTGTAGGGCCCAGGGGGGCATGCAAATGGCCTAGGATACTGCAGCCTCCAGGCACTTGGAACACTCATGAGGCTCCAACATGTCTCTGTGAGCCTCTACGGCCATACATAAGACACTCCCCTGGCAGTGCTGACACAGGTAATAGGGCAGTGAGACACTTTCACACACACATACCCACATTCCCAGTACCTCCCCAGTTCAGACGCAGGTATCCATACACATACCCTTACATCCCTTCATACACACCACACAGTAAGTCCCTGCACTCATATACACACACCATACACATACCAACACATCCCCACACACTTCCCACACCTGTGTAGCCCTGCATACATACCACACCATGCCCCAACACATCACCACATAGCCACATTGCCAATCTGACAATGACATTCATCCACACTCATCTCAACACCATGCCCACACACCACACATCCCACAAATACATGCCCTCGCTCCCACATTCATGGCTTCACAGACATGGTTGCAGAGCCTCACAGTGCAGCACCCATATGCCCACACCTACAGTCCCTCTCTGTCACAAACCCACATCTCTCCACACTTCCATAAATCCTCATGCAGGGCTCCTGGGGCTCAAAAGCATTTTAAGTGCAGGTGTCAGCTCAGCCCAGCCTTCACCGGTGCCCACAGAGCACCTGGACACACGAACCTCCTCTCCTGGCATGAGAACTCACCGTTGCACTTCAGCCCATCTCCAAGCCAGCCTGTGCGACACTTGCATTTGAAGCTCCCGGGCACGTTGATGCAGGAGGCATGCATGTCACAGTTGTGAGCCCCAATCTCACATTCATCAATGTCTGTAGGAAGGAAGAACATCAGAGCTGACACAGCTTAGCTCCTCCAGGAGAGGAGGGGGCAGCCGGGTACAATCCTGCTAACATGTCTGGGTACCAATGGTTCCTGGGAGTCTGAACCCCAGGGGATGGGAACAAGGTGCTTTAGGGAACAGGCTGCCTGGAGTCGTACCCTTGAGCTGAAGAGCTGATCTGTGCTCACCCCTGGAAGATGAAGACAAAAGGAAGGGCAGGTCCCTGGCTTGGCTATAAACTAGGAAAGTGTCGATTCCTGCCTGCAGCCTGCCTTTCTGGCAATCTCTGCCTGCCCAGGAGGGGCTCCCAGCCCACTACCACATCCCTAGGTGTCCACAGCATCCCCCAGTATAGGGATGGTGTTCTCTCCATGGCAGCTGCAGGAGGTGTTTGTGAGGGCTCCCACCAGCACCCCTAGCTGGAGTCTGGGCAGTTCCCACCTGTGCAGCCTGTGGTTCCTTTCTTGACGAAGTAGCCCAGCTGGCAGTGACAGATGAAGGAGCCCTTCGTGTTTTCACACTCGCCATGCAGGCAGATGTTAGGGTTGAGATCACATTCATTCACATCTGCAGGAGAAAAAGGACTTGCTTGGAACACCTCAAGAACCATGACCTGACTCTGGGGCATCCCTCTGTATCCCCTCCTCCCTCCGACAGCAGCCTTGTGATGCAGTGCTGGCACGCGCCCAGGGCACAGCCTTGTCCTCACCAATACAGGTCTTCATGTCCAGGGATGCCATGAAGCCATCGAAGCAGAGGCACCGGTACTCCCCAGGGATATTAGTGCACTGCCCACCATCACAGATGTCTGGATTATCCTCACATTCATCAATATCTAGAGAGAGGAGACCATTGCCAAAGTAAAGATGTTAGAGCCAGTGGGAGCAGGAGGGGGCAAGAGGGAGTCACAGGAGGGGCTTTGCTCCAAATCATGTAGTTACAGGACTCTGGAGCCTGTAACGAGGGGCCGGATGTTGCAGTGCAAAGCTAAAACATCTGTCCAGGAAAATCACCTCTCTGGAAGTGACTTAAAAATGAGACCCCCTCACCCTGAAGCCAACACTGTGGCTGACTGGCAATGGATGCAGAGGTCCCTAGGGCAGCACCTGTGAGAGCCAAGCTGACTGCTCACCTGCACATGATCTCTTGTCTGGCATCAATGCGTAGCCTTCACTGCAGCTGCATTCATAGCTGCCCTCTGAGTTGGAGCAGTGTGTGTCACAGCCGCCGTTGGTTATGGTGCACTCATCAATGTCTGGGGGAGAAGGAAGAAGTCACGTAGCTGCTTCGGTCATGGGCTGGGATACATGCCTTGCAGCAGAGCTGCTCAGACACAGTGCCAGTAACAGAGCCAAGGTGGGAGAGGTGCTGAAGAGGAAACAAAGCTCCCCCAGCCAGAAGAAAGCACCTCTTGCCTTCTCTGCCAACCAATTGCAGCTCACAGCAGTTTCACAGCTGATGACAGCCCCTTACCAGTAGTGCCAATCTGGCTGTAGCTCAACCAGGAGGTTCCCCCCCAGTCCTTGCCTTACCCTCAGACACCCCACTGAGCATTATAAGAGGTATGAGGCCAAGAGGGTTCTGGATGCGTACTGGGGTCTCAGCACGGCTATTTGGCAAAAGGGAGTACTCACCGACACAGCCCTGCCTGTCCAGTGTGGCCTGGAAGCCTGAATCACAGGCGCACTGGTAGGTACCAATGACGTTGACACAGCGTCCGTTGCGACACAGGTTGTCACTAAGAGAGCATTCGTTGATATCTGTGGTGGGAAGAACAGTTTGAGCAGCCAGCCACGTTGATGCCACGTTTAGCATCGCTTGGTACCCGTCCCCAGGTACCCCCCACCTACTCCTGTCTCCAAACTGAATTTGTTATTGTCCCATTGGTCAGTCTTCAGTGAACAGCAGGTAGAACAACAGAGATCATAAATGCAATGAAACCCTGGGAGTGACCTTGGTCCCTCCTGGATGAGTGTGTTCTACCCACATATGGGATTCAAAGGAGAGATTTATGTTCCCAGCATGAGATCCAAGTCTCCCTGTATCATTACTCTTGAACAGGCTCTGGTCATAACATAGCTTTCCATCATCTCACCAATGCAAGTGTTCCCTTCAGAAGTCAGCTCATGTCCAGGGGGGCAGATGCATTCAAAGCTGCCATCTGTGTTCATGCAGATCCCACCTCGGCACAGCAGTGGGTCCCGCTCACACTCATTGATATCTGCAGAGAATGACACGAAATGTGGTGGATTGTCCCCTTCAGCTGGGTTTTCCAGATAATGGGGTGGTGCTGGTGCCATGCACCACAGTCCCATCACCAAAGATGTATCCCCAAACAGAGGGACATCACAAAATTAACAGGGCAGTGAACCCAGGGCTTGGGTGAGTCCAGTGGGCTTATGGTTGAAGTATGCATTTTGGAAAATCACAGCTCTTGCCTTGACCTCAAGTAGAACATAAAATGTAACATCAGGAGGAAAGAAGTTATTAGCTTTGTGCAGATTAGCCAGCAGGGACTAGAAGGATAGTTCCTAGCTCACATCCCACCTATCTTAGTACATTCTGACAAGTCCCATCAGCAGAGGAAGAGTTCCTCTGAAAACATGTAGGTTGTTTGATAGAAGACTAACAGACAGGCTTGCTTGGTAACAGCCTTCAGAGTAGTTCCAGCATCACACATAGGGCTGGGAAATAGTCTGTACATTTCTGAAAAAAATCACACATGGACAAAGGGATTGAATTTACCAGGAACTGGAGAAATTCCTGAAATAGATTAAACTGCTGAGAGAGAGATGTGATTCAGCCAAAGATGAAACCAGGCTGCTGGCATTAAAAATGAAAAGAAAAAAAGAAAAAAAAAAGGGGGGGATTAAAAAAAAAAAGGGGATAAAAAAGTTTATAAATGCCAGACTAAAATGACAATGGAGGTGACGGGCTCCTATCAAACAGTCCCACAGGACCCACGCCTCCGGTTCTCCATGGTGGAAGACTGTTCCTAATGAACTGCAGAATGCAGGTTCAGTGCTGATGTTGTTTATTGCCAGGGGCTGGCAATAATTCCTCCCTCATGAGGCTGAAGCCAAGTTGTTTTGCCAAACACAGGCAGGAAGAAGTTAATCCTTGACCATGGGAAATGCCATAGGGTCACAACACCCTTGGGGGTGAAATGACTCAATCCTCTGTCGCCTAGAAAAAAGGATAAAGGTAGAATTGTGCAGATAATAGTGAGCATTAAAAAAACCAGAACAACGAAACACAACATCCTTATCTAAAGATATCAGAAATCTCATTACTGAAAGTTAGCAGGCCATCAGTGGGGTCTGTGACATTCTCAGTATCTCAGAAATGGAGGAGGAGAAGGAGGAAGATGATCAGTGTGAGCTGTGGTAACCCACGCTACAAACTGTATGGAAAAGACAGAAAACCATGCCAGTGGCAGGCCAGGGATATATTTTAAAGAACCCAGAGAATCAAATATGAAAAATAAATAAATGGTATTGAATCATGCCACAGACTGATGTGGTTTGAAAGTCCAAGCCAAAGCAGAAAGAGCAGAATATTAAGACTAGGTCAGTCAGACAAGTTAGTCTGGCTAGACAGACGAGAAGAAGAACATGGTATGCCAGGAATTAGAGGACAGCAACAGTCTGGCTGACTTGTTGGAGACGAACTGAGGTACTGAGGTCATTGATGGGATTTTTTAAGCTACAAACAAGAATTATTAAATTGAGAACAGATGAGAATCTGACAGAATAAAAACAAGCATTGGCCAGATGGGAGGAGCTGTAAAGAATTATCTGAGGATAAAGGACGATTAAATGTTCCCAGGCAGGTGAAAGTAAGCCCTTACCATTGTAACTGGAAATAGAATGGGGTAGAAGAATGCAGATGGTCTACGAGAACATCTCATGAAGGACTTGATCTGTGCAAAAGTTTGGGGAACTGGACAGGGGCCTGATTAATAGTTGAAGCTGGTATGAAATTGCTGCAGATTCAAAACCCAAGGAAAGGTGCAGGAACAGCAACAGTTGATTAGATATCACATGTAAGTGAGACCAAGTTGAGAGTCACTTTAGAAAAGATTCAGTGGAAAGCAGTCCAAGAAAAATTGGATGAATCAGCAAGATTCAGAGCTAGAAGAGACATGTTATCAAATGGTGAACCTCTTGCAGAGCAAGGTATGAGATACCTCCATGTTCTCATGCCAACAGAGGCACATGGCTGTAGGATGTGCAATGACAGCAGGAGGCCAAGCAGTGCTATAAAGACCAAAGCTTAGTATGCCTTCTAATACAGGAGTGGAAATAATAGCTCTACTAATCTCAGCAGTGATCTAATGATGATATAACTGACAGCTACTTGCAAGGAACATATATTATCTAGAAAAGGGACCAAGCTACATGTAACTGGATTGAAATGACTGATGTGGTATGTGAGACAGTATTTAGGGCAGGTAGACGTACCAGGTTAAGAAGATAACTGTGGTGGCATGGATAGGGTACTACACAAAAAGATCTACAAGTTGAGAAACATTCTGCAGTGGTGTTTGAATACAAGGTTTAATGTAAGGGTTGAACATATGATATTAATAATGTCTGGAGATGGGTGTACATTTAGTGTGGATATGTAAATAATCAGTGGCAGAATAAATAATAGATGGGTAACACAAGACTGAAAGAAGTACAAGGAGATGAGACGTCACACAAAGGAAACAGCCAAGTGTGTACGAGAATTGGAGCTCATAGCCACTGAGTTCAAGCTGCTGGCCTGGCAGAGCTCCACTGTATACTAGCCAATCCCAAGCATAAAGGTTGCCATCTCCCT